TTGTTCTAGGGGTATTTTCATCATTTTTAACCTTATACAGGCCTTAGGACCTCATTTCCCATTTTCTGAGAATTTTCGAGCATACTTTCTATCATTACCCCTTTCAACTCAAAACTTTTCAAAATTATAATTAGGTCCCTACTAGGGTTTAGCCTTAAGAATTATCTTTTTGAGGTTTCTAACATGACATTTGACCCATATTCATCCTCATTGGTCTTACTCAGCTCTTGAAACTTCAGTACAGCCTCTAGCTTTCTTGTCTATTGGTCTCAGAAAACTCTTACTTTACAATTTAGTCCTTAGAAATCCTCTCGTCTTTTTAGAGAACTTCTGAAACTCCTACCAAAAGAGGCATGGTAGTCTGCCCATCCCAAGCTATTTTTTACACTTCTACACCTAAGATGTTACAATCTAGGTGACAAAATTTATTTCCCGATTCACACTTTGTTTTTGACAGAATGAGAATAATGGGCTTGGATCCATTAAACATAGGGTATGTTTAGATTGACGTTAGGCAAAACTGACTTCTAGTCTAACTGACTTTTATAACTGAAGTCAAAGTGAAAGTTAGTTAGTGTAATGTGATTTATGTTTGGATAGGTGCTTATAAAAAGTCAGTTGAAAAGTTAAAAGTTGTTTAAATAATTAATAGAAAAGTTAGTTTAGTTGTAAAATGACTGAAAAGGGTATGGACTTTATTGAATAGTAGTATTTGAAATTTTATGTTTTTAATGTGATAATAGTTTAAAAAAATATGTAAAATTATTATGATAAAATATAAATAGTTTATTTGTGAAATTATAGAATAAAAATATTTGTTATGGAGAAAAATTTGAAAACACATTATAGATAATTAATTAAATATACATAATAGACAAACATGAATACAAATTAAAATTTATTTGGTCTCTAATTAAAGTAAATGAAATCACATAACTAATTAGATAATAAGCTTTGCATAATTTTCCCATAAGTCAATTAGAAAAGTTGATCCAGATTATGTTGGATAAGTCAGCTAGAAAAGTTACTTTTCCCATAAGTCAGTTAGAAAAGAAGCTATATCCAAACAATCTTCTAAGCCACAATAAGCCACAAACCTCAGTTTCACGCTTCCCTGTGTGCTTTTACCATCTGTGTTGAGGCAAAAAGTGTAAAAAATACGATCAGTGGCATTTTTTTAAATACTAATGCGTTTTAAAACCGGTTCCACATAAAACCAGTCTAAAATATACCTTTTACACCCGTTGTTTGTGCAACCGGTGTAAAAAGTATTAAAAATATATTTTTAAAAAATGATATGTACAATTTCTTAAACTAGTTCTTCATACAATCGGTCTAAAATATACGTTTCACACCAGGTATTTATTACAACCATTGTAAAAATTTTGAAAAATATTTTTTTAAAAAAATAATATTTACAAGCTTTTAGAAGGTGATTTAAAATATAAAAGTGTAACCTACTTTATTTTGTAGCTGCCTCTTCCAAACAAAACTTTATTCTCTCGTAATCTCTCTAAGTTCTCTCACAATCTTTTTTCTTTGTTTTATTCATTGGTAACTTCAATGCTAGTCCTCTTCTTCATGCTTTTCTTCTTTGTGTTATTACGTCTTTTTCATGCTCGTTTCCTTCATAGCATGTCATCTTCTCTATACTTGTCATCTTCTTTAGGTTCATCAACTTCTCTATAATCGTCAACTAGAGAGATCTATGTTTACACCATACAAATCTGTGCCTATCCATCCAAATATATGCTCATCACATCAAGATTTGTGCTCATCATATCCAGATCTGTGCTATCTCAAGCTCTCATTGTGTTGTCATCTAGATGATCATGTATGCCTAGATTTGTACTCGTCTTCATCGTTGCTATACTTGTTTTAAGTTTATACTCTTTCTCTATTTGTCTGTTTAATGAATAATTTTGAACTTTGTCTAACAAATATATTTTTATTATATGAACCAGTATGAATCGATATCATTTTTGAAAAACTTGGCTAGTTTTTTTACGGTCTCATTATATCTAATTTTTTCTACTCTTGGGATATTTCTTATTGTTGGACTGTTAGATTGTTTATTGCAATGTTACAAGATCTAGATTTCATGAGATATGATAAAATTCCAAAAGAAGCTCCAATTTAATCGTAGCTTCATCTGGGATTTTATTAAATCTCATAAAATTGCAGATCTTTTTCATTATTTTAATTTTTTCCATTTTATCTCTTGAGTGACCGATCTGGTAGAACAACTCAAAAGATAAAGAAGTATCATTAATTTCTTCATGCTCATTCCAAGTTTGAAGTACCATTTGTACGAACGAGAATCCTCCTTGGACCAAGTCATTTCAGGGCAAGCGGTTCATTTATGATAAAGAGGATGAGCTTCCAGAGAATGATTCAGAGCCAATATAAAAATATAAGATCTTTAAACAACCCATTTCCATATCGGTCATCTTTCCAATATCAAATGCCTATTCTAACCGGTGTGAAAGACATTTTTTCAAGTAGTGAATGAGGCCTTTACCACAAGACTGCCTAGTATTCCAATAGTAAATATAAGCCATAAAGAGGCTTACAGAAAGAAAGCAGGCCCAATTTGTCCTCTGTGGAGAATTGCATCCCTCACTCTGACCACTTGAATTAGTCTCATCTCGAATTGGGCTATTCTAAATAGGCCCAAAATGCTTAACCCTAGTTCCTCCTTTATTACCCAGGTCATGCAAAATATTAGGAAGGTTTGCAACATCCATGTTATCCACCTTTGACCTCTCCTCTGTATCGTCAACAAAAATCTTGCCTTCATCAATCTATAAGTTGTTTCCTCCTTAGTAGAGTCCTCCAGAATAAGCATCAAAATTTCATTACTTCTCATGTGGTTCATAAACATCTCACATGATTCTTCTCCATTTCAGAGGCACACTCTGCTCGAACCTTGGCCAAGCTTGCCAAACCATACAAGCACCTTGCCTAGATCTTATCCAAGCTTGTCAAACCGTTCAAGTATCTTGCCCACACATGCTAACACTTGCCTGGATGATATCCAAGCTTACCAAACCATACAAGCACCTTGCTCACACTTGCTCGGATCTTGTCCAAGCTTGTCAAACCATACAAGCATCTTCATTGCTGATTCTAAGACCATACTCATGATGAAACAATTATCTTTGCTTTGTCGTTTTTTCTGCGCAACTTTTCTCTCCTTAGTACTATGCACAAAATTGGCAAAAACATTATCCATGTGTACATTCTTTCCATCCTCAAGTATTACATTATCTTCTATTTCTTTTTGTGAAATCAAAATGATTATCCACCTCAGCCAACATATCAAACCTCATACCGGAACCTGGTTGCAGAAAATTCTCACCATTCTTCTCCTTCCCTTTCCTCTGCTAGCAAGGTTTTTGGACAAATCTCTAGCAATCCTGTTCTATATTCATGTTACCTAGAACTTCCTTTCCTGTTCTCTGTAATGCTTGAGCCTGCTTATTATTAATCGTCACATTGTCCTCTATTTCAAGAATTTTAGAGGGACACCCCCCTCCCAAAAGACCATAAATGCCACATTTTGTACATAATGAATGAAGCCCTTCATGTTCGAGATAGTAATCCTCCCTATCAAGTGAAAAACCCGGCATTAGTTGTTTCCCAAGATCAATAAGAACACAAATCCTCATATATGCCCTCTTAACTAACAAAAATTGTTCATGTAAACTCTGATAGTTTGCCCAATTCTGTTCCCAATAATAGTTAAAGCCTCTTCATCATAATACTTAAGGAAAATTTAGTAGTCTAACCCAAACAGCAACCTTGCTATTTAGCTCTTATAGGATTAAATTTTGGTTCATCGTAATCCAAGGGCCACCAGTTAAGGCGTTGAAGTAAGCTTCCTTATTAGAGAGCTTCATACAAAGTATCCATGGCCAATATTAGTTAGCTTAAGAACTCCTTTACTTGTCCATATCGACTACAATCTAGTTTTAAGTGCTTTAAAGCCAATATTTATATCCAATAACTTCATGCTAACAACTCTTCTTCAGGCTTTGTAAAGGTGTTTCTTTACTATGCCAAAAAAATGGAAAGTAGGAAAGTTTTTATTGGGGTCTTCCCTAATACGCACAGGAAGTTCAAATGTCTGAGGTTCCATTTCCTCGTCAGATTTCTCTGAAAGAGTATTATCAAACATGCCATTTTCCTTGTCATTATCATCATCTGAATCTTCTTCTTGTCTATTAATACTGTTCAACGTGTCAGCAAAAGAGAGTTCAGATTTCTATGTAGGCTATGGCATATCTCCGGCTTAGGCCATTCATTTGTTCTTGATATTCCTCCTGCTAATAGTTGTCCATTCTTGATCTTCTCAGCGCTCCTCATAAGAAGTCATCTTCCTCCAATGAAGGAGGCACCAGAGCGATTTTCTCATAGCAAACAAGAGGCAATCTTTCCAGTGTTTTTCATTCATATAGGCATTTTTCATTTGATCTTATCATATAGAGGTCCGGATGGTTGTATATTGCTCACTTTCATTTGTCTTTTATTAAAAGAAAAATTGAATTTACACTTGACATTTGTTTAACTTTTCAGCATTTTGTTTGACTGTTAAAATCAAGCTTGCTTCTAATATTAATGCTTACGAAAAATCAGATTAAAAAGGCACAATTATTATTTTTAATACAAATAAAATTGATTTGATTGATTGCAATTATTAGGATTTCGAAGTTTAATAATACCCTCCTCATTTCAAGTACAAGCCACATTCACCCAAATAAACTAGTTAGCTGTCAAGCTTCTATGAAAAGAAGATATGCTGATGTTTTTTAGATTTTTTTAATTAGACTGTCTGGAACTGGATTAGTTCTATTTTAGGCGTGGAACTTGTCATTCCCAAAAATAAAAAATAGTTGAGTTGGTAAAACTTGACATATCAATTTTTTTTCCAAACAAATTGGAAATAAACTTTATTAATGTTAAAAGGTATCAATTGCCCTTAATATATCATGAAAATATTTTAAGCGGAGGAAGTACAAGTTTTCTTACGAATTCAAACTTTCAAATGACAAATTTTGTGAAATTGGTTGATATGGAGGAACAAGTCTAAAATTAAAACGTAAAATTAAAATTAAAGGCCACATTCTATATTTACTTAAAACTAGTTTAACAAGCAATCTACAAGCCATCAAGCTTAAGACTGCGCAGAGCCACAAACCAACATGTACTTGCAGTTGAAACTTCGATCGTCTGTGCTGCAGTAACACAAGTGCTGTAGTTACGCCAGTGGATACTTACAAATTTGTTCTGAACCACCAATATTTTATATGTGCTTGTGTCTCTACACACACACACACATAACTTGCAAAAAAAAAAAAAACAGAGTATTAAGAGTAAAACTTGCATAAAATTTGGGCTACTTAGATCAAAATGAGATAACATAAAAATAACAGCTTGGACCAAGGGAAAAAAACCTACGGTTACAGACTTGCAGCAGCAACATAGCATATCAGTCTCCGCACTAACTGTTTTTTTTTTAAAAAAAAAAAAATCTGTCTGTTAAAAGTCAGCAAACTAAATTATCACTAAAATGTGCTCAATGACATGAAAGAATATATACGGGAAGAACACACGTAGCTAAACATGGTTTTACTATATGAAAAATTATAAATTCTAATTTGACTCTCTTTTCCGTTATTTTTTTCTTTTTCTTTTCCATTTTGTTTTCTTTTTAGCTATGACAAAGAAATGTATTACTCCTTCAATCTTAAACATAAAACTCATTTTATAATGTAAATTATACTATAAAATAAGTGTTACATTTAGGACTGAAGGAGTATAAAGATTTTTTTGTCATTTGAGAAAATTCATGGCCTCTGTCATTTTTTGCCTTAAAGCATCCAATGATTCTGTCAGTTGAAAGACTTCTGCGCGATCCATTTCCAACAACATCGCGGAAACATGTCCTGCATGATTATTCTCCGGGCGCTTTATAACAGGAGACTCTTCACCCAAGACCTACCACAAATGAAATATGATGAACTCAAGCAAAACCAATTTGATAAAAGGTCTAAGCAGCAACAACTTCACTACGAATCCAACAACACTAATGTGGATCATCAAACCTCTGTTATTGTTGAAGTAACCAAAACAGTTTGCAACCCTTTGGCAGTGGATTCTTTAGTATAATCTGGCAAGTGTCTGAGAATCTTGCAAAAATCAAGGCTGATGCCACTATCAAACATGCAGTCGGCATCATCCACTACCTACTTAGGAAATGGGGACATACAGGTATGATCAATGCAAGGTAGCACTACGTAGTTTCAACATTCAGTCTTTAATCCAAAAATAGCATGAACAAGTGTGTATTCTCAGGAGTTCATCATTGGATCACTAGTGGCATACTTGGGCCCTATCCTCTTCAGAAAGCAAGGCCTTCAAGTACTACATCAAAGAATTAAGTTCGTGTGTGAGCGTGTATATAAGCAGACATCTATGTTATTTAATTACCACCCACATTGGATGGTTTTAAAATTTCAGCTTTGGTCTTTAGAGAAAATGTTAAGAGATCTTAAAGATCATTGGCATTTACAACCTCACCTAAAATGTTGAGTGATGTCCAAAATACTTCTATTATGATCTTCAACATTCACCCATAATAGAAAAGTCCTTTAGGCTTGGAGTGTGGATAAATATCATAAAACACCTAGCTTGATCAATTTACCATTTTAACGCATAAGTTCAAATTGTTCAGTAAAGGCTAGTCATACTATCATCTTGAACGACCACTAAAACATAAATCATTGATACTAACCAAATATCTTATTTCTTCAGGAATAACCATTCCCTCTTCAATGTACTGAAGAATCTCACAAGGAGGTCCGATTACAAGGCCAATTGAAGCATCTGACTTCTCATTATTTGGTAAATCACCCTTAGCAGATTTCAATTCTGTGTGATGGATGATAAATTTTGCAGCATTAAAGCACTGCAATGACAATAATTTGCAAGGTTGAGGGAAATCAATAAAAAAAAAAAAAAAAGAGTTCCATAAACCACAGGACTAAGGAGATAATAAGGGTAAGGAAGATCACCAGTTCAGCTTTCTCCTCTGTGGCACAGAGAACAATGGCCCGAGGATGCCGCAATTTTGATTGGGACAACTTTGTGTCTTGCCTCAAAAGCTACACAAGTTAACACATTACAATAGCTTTTTTTTTTTTTTTTTTTTCAAGTGAAAATTACAATAGCTTTTTATTCATGTTTATCTAATCCTTCGTTTGGTAACAAAAATAAGGAACTCTGTATCTTGTCTCAAAAGCTAACAAGTTAACACAATTCTCTTCCACCGTTTGAGAAAACTATTTCTTCCAAAATGATCCAAATTGTACGGAATTCAAAATTAAAAAACATGAGGGATGGCTTTGGCATAATTTCAAGTGTTAGTTACAAACACCTTATAACAAACTCCCAAATAAAGGAATGGTTTAGACAAAAACTCCCGTTCCCTTTTGTTCCCTTTCATTTCCCTCTCCAAAACACACCTCATGCTGTGGTTCACATAATTTTCAGTCATTCAAGCATTCTTAGCACGAAATTACAAAAAATATGAAGTAGAAAATAATGTTTAACTTTTGATAGAATTAATAGAAAAAATTGATCAAAACAAGGAACCTTGGAGATGTAGTTTCCCTTATCATAAAGAACTTCATAACATGTGCAATACGAGAAAGTTCAAGCAGACCAAATAAGAAAAAAGGAAAAGAATAATGTAGTATCGTCTAGGTAATTTTCCATTTGATTTCATATCAAAGAGAAAATAGAACTGATATTAGGAACCATACCATATAATATGCCGGGTAATTTCTTTTCTCAAACATATGTAAAGATAGCATATACCAATACTTAAAGCCAAGCATTCAACCCATCACTTCCAAAATCCACGATCGAAGATGTCGCCAATTTAAAGAAAGATTTTCCAGAACCAGTTAATACAAGAACTCCAGGGAGGTACAGAAATATTATAAAGTTTACCTGAATAAGAGGCAATAAGTAGGCCAAAATTCTGTCAGGCCCAGACACCGAACTCATCAAAACACTCTTGCCTTTCAAGACAGCAGGAATTCCCACACATTGAATCTCAGTAGGAATAAGCAGCCCTAGTTTCTCCAAAAACTCAATGAGCTCCTTACACAAACCCAGCACCTTGAAATCGGTCACTACATTAGAGGATTCATCCTCATTCTTCAAATCCTTTTCAATTTCCTTCTCCGATGCTTGGGGGCTACCTTGTGAAGTTGTAGAAGAACCTTCGAGCTTTCTAAGTCTAAATTTTTCTAGAAGCAACGAATCCCTTTGAGAGTTGGGTGACCTCTTGTCGTCATTGCCATCAGGATTTGAGGAGAAAGAATAGCTTAAAGGAATAATAAACCCAGGCGAATCAAAAGGAGAAGATGGTGATTTCGCAGTTCCATAGCGAAGAGAAGAGTAGAGTCGAAGAATCTCTCTGCACCTTCTCATGGCGTCTCTGATTCACTTACGCCTTCAACAGGCAGAGAACAACTCGTAACGCCAAGCGTGTCTGTTCATTGTCAATCAGCGTATAATACAGCCAGCTACATCCTCTAATCTCCTCCTTCGCTTCAGATCAGAAACTGCAGAAGGCTGGCTTCAGCGTTCGGACTGCTCAACCCTTTTATAGCTATGTTAAAAAATAAAAAAAATCCTTTGTAACGCTTAAATCATTTCCTGAGGGAAAATTGAGCATTCCTGAGGCAACGAATTTTATTTTATTTTATTAAAAAAATTAGTTTACTTATTTGATTTGGGAAAAATGATCCCTGAAAATTGTGAAATCATTTAAAGAGTACCGATATGCATAATTCTAAAAAAAATGTAAAAACGAAAATGAAATTTTGAATTTCAAGCAAAAAGACATAAATTATAATTTTTATTCTAAAATTAATTGAAATTTTGTTATTACCATTTGAAGTTTAAGAATTGAGTATTGATTCACTAAAAAAAAACAAAGGAATTGAGTATTGATTTACTTGTTAATTTCAGTTTCAAAATTAGTAAAATTGATTTAAAATTTGTAATTTCTGTCAAAGTTAAGAAACTAAGACAATGTTACTTTTTCGGATCATTCATCACAACTCCTGTATAAGCATGAATTACATTTCATCAATAATTAATTTTTATGGAGCAAGTAACAACATCCCTCATTCATGTCACTCACAACCTTTACATAGGTATTAACTATTCACTAATTTTATGAATTATTAGCAACTTTTATTTAGCAATAATAAGAGCACTCTTTTATGTCATCATCAACTTTTACATAAATATTTACTACATTTCATAAGTTATTAATAACTTTTGTTTAACAAATAACAAAACCACTCTTTCAAACCGTTTAGAACTTTTGTACGAGTATTAACTTTATTTTATGAACTATTAATAAACTTTCATTGAAGAAGTAATAAGGCAACTCTTTCAAACCATTTACAACTTTAATTTAAGCATTGACTAAATTTCATTAACTATTAATAACTTTATTCATTAAATGAGCTCATTTATTTTAAAGAGTTAATATAATTTAGCTAAAGTATACATATGGTTCTTTAATTTTGTACAAGGTTTTAATTTGGCCCTTTAGTTTTAAAAAGTATACTTTTAATCCTTTAATTCTAAATTTTTTTTAAATGATGATATTAAGGTCTTAAATATTGATAAAATATTCTCAAATGCTAATATATTAAATTTAATTTTTAAAACATCTATGATTGTTACAAAAAATCATCATTAAAGCTTAATGATTTTAGGGTTAAAGGACCAAATGTATGTTTTTTAAAATTAAGAGATCAAATTAAAAGCTTGTATAAAGTTAAAAGACCAAATGTATACTTTAGCCATATAATTTTTTGTCTCTAAAACTTGCACTTATTTTAGTTTTATTCTCTTAAATTTTAAACCCACAATTTTAATTCCTAAAATTTAGTTTATCTTAAAACATTAGTATCTAGAAGCGTAAGGTATTAAAATTTGTTAAACTATCATAAACACCGTTAAAGTAGCAACGTGCACTATATAGCACTTTGCGGGATATGATTTAAATAAAAGAGAGGACAAGAAAACAGGTCCTCAAAGCATAGCTGTGTAGCCCCATTTTCCCTTCTTCGTTTATTCGTTGAGCTGTGTTTTATGTTTTTAATGGAAATTTTATTAAATTTGGATATTTATATTTATGCCAAAAGGGAAATATTACGTAATATTTCTATTGCACATAAAATGAATATTTGCTTAGTGCGATAAAATCTTTTCATTTCTATTGCAAATAAAATGAAATGTGTAATATGAATTATACTTCTATACTCATTGCTTTATAATAAAATACTTTTTTATTAAGCCTTTCTTATGTACAAAATCAATTTTTCTTTTCATTCTGTTATACATCATGAATGGCTGCTAAGTTTGTAAAACAACAATAGCGAGACAATACGACGTGTTTAATTTAAAACTAATGTGGCATCATTTAAAATGGACTAAAAGGGTGTTTGAATGGAAGCTAAACCGTAATTTTAAAAGTGTTTTTACGGTATACAAAATAAATATATAGAGGAGTGTATTTCGTTTTGCGAGAAAATGCTTCTAAAAAGTCTTTTTCGATCTTGCCAAACACCTCCTAATATGCCAAAGAAAAGTTGCAACTCTTCTTTGCTATTCAGAACTTTCTCGGGTCATGCTGTCCATCCTATTGCCCGCAATGAAAATACTCAAGATGGAAGCCTTTTGGGTTCCAATATTCGCTCATTCATTCATCTTTTTCTTTTTCTTTTTTCTTTTTCTTTTCTTTTTTTTTTTTTTTTTGCCATGAATACTCGCTCATTCATCTGCTTCCATTACTGGTGATATAATTAAACAGGAAAAAGGATTTGTAACAAAATTCTTTTACGATAGAAGTATGAGTGAATATTATTAACTGAATTGTACTTGGCATTTTATTAAAGCTTCCAAAGACAGAATTATTTTCATTCCCCCAGAAAAGAAATTATACAAGGTATTTGTGGGGATAATTGGTCACTAGTCAACTATCTTCCCAGGAACCAAACAGAAATCAACAACAAATTTGACCCGAATCAGGAACAATTGCCCTATGATAGGCTTGTCCATTATACCAAAATAGCTTAAGCCACTTGGTTGGACTAACCGTAAGCTTGTATACTTTTGAGATGCATGTTTTTTAATCCTTATAATGCAGCAAAGCCAGAATAATTTCAGGTATAAAGATTAAACCCATTTATTGAACCAACAAGAGAATTGGAAGGCAGGGATATTCACAGACCTGATGACAGCAAATTGTTGGTAAAGATATCTGCGGAAAGCTGCCAAAGCATCCATGGCAGGTTATTGGAAAAGCTATCACCAGAAGTCACCGCAAGAACATGATCCATTCTTGAAATGATGGAAGCGGCTGCTATCTCTCACTATAAATTCTCGATTGTAGATGTTAGACAGGAGTTTAGTTACTGCATGGCAGTCATTACAGACACGAAGGTTCTTTATTATCCGAACAGGACTTCCCTTTCCCATATTGAGAAGGCCAAAAGCAATGGCCAACCTCTCGCTGTGAATTTCTAACTCAAATTCCTTTTCATTTTCGTTCTCAACATGCAGCAGAACTTGGCTTGTGTCTGGAATATGTCCTGCAAGTTTCAGCTTCTCTCTCATCTCACCCAACTTAGCATATATATTTTCAGTTTGGGGATGTGCTTTATCGCCTGCAATGAATCGGTGCAGTTTACCTCCTTGCTCTACGAAACTGCATCCAGCATCCTTTCTTACCCCTCTCTTCATCATCATTTCTCTTACATGTGAAACTTTATCCCACTTACCAGACGCAGCATACATATTAGAAAGCACTATATAACCTGCAGCAGCATTTGGATCTACCTCAATCAAATTGTGAGCAGCATACTCTCCGAGTTCCAAGTTTCCATGGTTCCTAGAACCACCGAGCAAACTCATCCAGATCACTTTGTTTGGTCTCATTGGCATGCTCTCGATGATATTCTTTGCCTCTTGAAGATACCCAGCACGACACAAAGTGTCCACAAAGCAACCATAATGTTCGATTGTCGGCTCAATTTTGTATTCATTGATCATCATATAGAAAAACCGACGCCCTTCATCTACCAATCCTCCGTGATTACAAGCATTTAAAACCCCAACAAAAGTTAAAGCAAGTGGTTTCATTCCAACTTCAAGCATTTCAAGGAAAAGTTCAAGAGCATTCTCAGCCATACCATGCATTCCTAAACCCATGATTATTGCTGTCCAATGCCCCAATTTCTTGTTGGCTATTGCTTTGAAAACTGCTAGAGCACTCTCTATGCTACCACATTTGGAATACATATCTATCAGTGATGTACCAAGCACACCATCTAATTCAAATCCACGTTTCAACATAAATGAATGGATGCACCTCCCATTATTAAGAACAGCTGACCCTGAAACAGCAGATAGAGCACTGAGCATTGTGGCATCACTAGGTATAAGGCCCTCACCTAACAATGCCACAAAGAAATGCAAAGCTTCAAAATACTGCCCGTTATGTTCATATCCAGCTATCATTGAGTTCCAACTTATTAAATTTCTCACTGGCATCTGGTGAAACAATTGATCGGCTAAATCAGATTGACCATACTTCATATAGCCATTTATCATGGCAGTCCAAGATACCAAATTTTTACTTGGCATTTGATCAAATATCTCTCTTGCAGTCTCAAGCTTTCCACATTTGGCAAGCCCGTCAACCAAAGAAGTCCATGTAAAGATATCCCTATCAGGCATTTTATCAAACAGTTCCATTGCCACTTCAACATTTCCATTCCTGGCATAACCATCAATCAAACAATTCCAACTTACTAAATCTTTATTGTCCATCTGATCAAATATTTTTTGAGCCAAATCCATCTCACTCCATTTAGAATACATACTAACCAAACTGCTTTGTACAAACTTATCTGAACCAAACCCAATTTTCAAGACCAACCCATGAATCTGTTTTCCTTCCTCAGTTGCATTTAAACGAGTACAACCCTTGATTAGGCAAGGCAAAGTGAAATTATCAGGCAGGAGTTCATGAATCATTTCATAAAACAGAAGAATTCCATCATGTGAACATTGGTTCTCAATATAGCACTTGATAATTAGGTTCCAAGAAACCAAACTGGGTGCTTCCATGCAATCAAAGACAGAGCGAGCATAATCAAGGTTATTGATTTTGGGATCAGCATAGAGAGCTAAAAGTCGGGAAGATATTGAAGGGTAACTGAAAATGCCTGTTTTGAGGGATAGGGCATGAAGTTGTTTAGCTTCTTGTTTGATTCTACAGAACTCAAATAAGTTGAGACTTGGAGGAAGATGTGGATGGAGAGAAGAAACATGTGGCAGCTTCAGCATCCTATAGACTCAAATGCTGAACACAACCTATCCCTGGAAATTCGTAAAGCTATTCCAGATAAGTTACTTGATTTTTTTTTTTTTTTGAAATAAAAAAGAAGAGAGAGTCCATCTAACTTTTCAAACTACGATAGAAGTATAATTTTGGTATAAGAACAAAAAATTATATCATTTTACTCTTTTACCCTATCACAAAATATAAAAAGATTGCAACAGTTAAAAGCTTAGAAATAGGAGATTTGGAGAAGGATGAGGGTCAAAATTAATGAAGGAGGAGAAAGAAAAACATAACACTACACATGACAACCCACATGACTTTTTCGAGCATGAGCTCTAACTGACAACTAAATTTTTTAATTTTTTTCATAGTCAAGGAAATAAAGAATTAGATCAAGTAGGACAGCTACAATATCAGTTTTTTAAAGGTAAAAAAAAAAAAAATACCCCAGAACAGCTAAGCCCACATTCCAATAACATTGCACTTTGTCTTAAAGTCAAGTTAGCAATCAATATTACAACATAATGAGAGTAAAAGGACAGCAAGCAATCCTCTAACCTCGCAAATTGGCCAAAAGTCAAGTTAGGAGGAATGATTAAATCATGGCCAGAACTATAAAATAGCACATGTTCCTCAAACTTAGCATTTTGACATAAAGTCAAATTAATATGCATCATCAAATCATGCATAGAAACTGAGGGGAGAAGGCTTTCCTCTGACTCCACACTTTTGAGTTTTGACAAACGTCAAGTTACAAGGCATGATAAAATCATGTTAAGAACCATGAGACAGAAGGAACTGATCGAACTCAGAATTCTATTGCCAGTTTGAGCCATCAGCAAGATCCAACCATGTTCAGGAGCATGGGAAAGCACGCATTATTTTAACTCAGCACTTGAGCTCTAATTTGAGCCAAAAGTAAGATCAAACCATGGCTATGACGAGACATATGATATGGTTTTGACTCAGCACTTCAGCCCAAATTTGGGCCAAAGTGTAAGACCAAACCATAGTACAGCCCACTGGACAAAAAAAAAATGATATTGACAAAATTTGTTTCATTTGAAGCTAAAACAACACTAAAATCATGCTTGGAAGTCATTGAGATAGTACGCAAGCTCTGAACATGATTTTGGCTCAAGTCTGAGCTAGACTAAGTTGAACTCATGCATGACAGATACTAGGACAGTAAGCAAGACATGAACATGATTCATGCTCAATTTAGGCTGAATCTAAGTTAATATTAAAATGCATAAAAGGACCCAAGTTCACTCTTACTGCTGAATTAATTAAAAATCAGCCCTAGTGAAGTTCATCCAACAATCCATTGCATCTACAACTAAGGAAATGCCATGAAGACCACTTATACAAAAACAGCATCATTTTGAATTTAGCTTTATGGAATATCTGAGCCATTCATGCTATAAAAATCCCATCCATGGCAACAGTTGTTTCAGTTTTAACCAATTGCACAATAAACATGGACAAAATGAAATAACGAACTTGTTAATTTTTTTCTGTCTTTAGTAGAGTGAACATTTGAGATGAAACAAAATCAAAATAGAAAGTTTGTATGCAATCAACTTGAGTAAATATCATAAAATAAAAGACACGAGAAACTAGAATCAAAAGAGGAAGGATAGGAACTTTTAGTGACAACACTTGTTCTTTTATTCAGAATTTTTGTTCTAAAGTGTTTCATAATCTTGATCTACAAATATATATAATTTATAATAAGCAAATTTAAATTTAAACAAGGAAACACATCAATTTATAGTGAAGAACCGATGCCAAGAAATAAATCTTTTCCATCAATGCATTAATCGTCAAAAGCCTGAACCTTAAATGTTTCATTTTTAATCTCCAATTAAAAAATATAAAATTTCCATAAGACAATCAAAAATTAAAAATTTATGGTTATGTAAGATGTATGGCAACTTATAGAAGTGAGATAAAAAAACAAATACTTTAAGCCAAGACAAATCTAAGTATTTCTACTTTTCAAATAAGACGAAATAGAAACTTCATATCATAAACTAATTGGCAGCATTAATTTTTGTATTGTTTCCATTTTTTAATTTGTGTAAACCATAAGCTTCCAAGAATAAATGAATCAAAACAATTACCAAACAAACAACTTTTTTGGCAAGAAGTAATAAAAGCAGAGAGACAAAACTATATCAACTAGCAAAATATGGAGACCGACAAGCCAACCTGTTCTCAGCCACATAGTTAAGGGAAGAAATTAGGTTTCATTCCCATCCAAATCAATCAACAAACAATCTGCGAATAAAAAGCACCATCAAGTATTCTGCTTCCATTTCTTAATTTGATGTTCAAGTAAATTAGCATATGCACTTATGTATGAATGTGTATTCTAGAAATCAATTTTGTTGGCTATTCAGTCTATTTCTGTCTATTTGGGCCACGGGCCATGCAAATCTGTTTGATTCTTTAATTTAAATTTCTATTTATTTGATAGATCTTGATTCCTTTCCGATTGTATCCTAGGAATTGATTTAAACTCCTAATATCTCGCCCGATTGCTAGAATCTCGGCTTAATCACCTCGTTCATTAAGGGAATTGTATCTATTTAAGACTGTCATTCTATTTGAATAAAATAAAACTTCAGAATCATTAGATTCTTCATGGTATCAGAGTAGAGATGATCCGATTTGGAATGGGCTTCAACGATGAAGGCCATAACAACCCTACGGTTTCCGCAAACATCCAATTGGGGTTGATGGCAGCAACGACTGGTTCTACCAGTCATCAGAATTCAATTGAATCAAGCCCTACATCCATCACAATTCATCGCCTCAACGGTGAAAATTATATGCAATAGTCGTCCAGTGTTCGGCTATATCTTATGGGCAAAAGCAAATATGGATACTTGATTGGTGCTATCTAGAAACCAGCCAAAGATGATGAAAAATATCCTACCTGGGAAGCTGAAAATTCTATGGTGCAAGCTTGGCTGATAAATTCCATGACAACTGAAATTAGCGCTAACTTCACATTTTTCTAGACTGCAAAAGTCTAGGACGCTGCAAAAGACATGTTCACTACACTCAAAAACAAAGCTGCCATTCTGGAGATAGAAAGATTTCTTCACGATTTCAAGAAAGGTAATCTTTCTATAACTCAATACTACACCGACCTAGTTGTTCAATGGCAACAGCTAGACATGTATGAATCCTACAAGTGGAAGTGTACAGGAGATGCAGCCCTCTATGCAAAGATAAAAGAAGAAAAAAGGGTCTTCAAGTTCTTGCTTGGATTGGATGACAGTTTTGAATAAGTCTGAGGAAGAATAATGGGACTTGACACACTGCCACCTCTAAGGTAAGTATTCTTCACTGTTAGGAATGAAGAAAGCAGAAAAAGATTTACTTCCACCGAATTGAAGAGTGAACCTAATCAACCAAGTGCCCTTGTGTCAAAAGGGTGCCCTCAAGATGACTCCAAGAAGCAAGGCAAGTGGTGCAACCATTGCAAAAAAAAAAAGGGCCACACTAGAGAGGTTTGTTGGAAACCACATGGAAAACCCTTAAAGAAGGGAAGACAAGATGGCTGAGGCTTTGTTGGAACTACAGATAGCAAGAATGAACTAGAATTCAATAAAGAGGAATTGAATCTACCCAGAAAATTCCTAAAAAAACATGATGCCCAGGAAATAACTCTTACCACTAGTTATATTGCCCATACAGGTAAAACTATATTAGCACTAAAAGCTAACATACACCATTCAAGACTTTGGATTGTGGATTTAGGTGCAACAGATCATATAAATAGAAACAAAGAATTTTTGACTGACATAAGACCATGTCCCATAAATATCCATGTAAAGGTAGACGATGGTAAAGCCTTGAAAGTTAAAGGGCTTGGAATTGCATATACCCCAGAAATAATCCTGTCTAATGTCTTTTACACTCCTGGATTGAAATGCAATCTATTATCTGTAATTGCTATCACTCAGAATCAGGATTGTGATGTTCATTTCACTACTGCTAAATGTGTATTTCAGGATCTGAAGCGAGGGAAGACAATTGGCACAACTAAGATTCTAGAAGATCTCTACTATTTAGAAGCCCAAGAGAATCAACACAAGGGAGATATTACTAATTCCGTGAAGCCATCCTCAGTTTTCTCTACTACTTCAGACAATAAAAATGCTTTATGATATTATAGACTAGGACATCCTCATTTTCATTATATGTCAAAGTTATTTTCTCAGTTTTTCAATAAGAATGATTTTCCTTTCACTTGTGAAGTCTGTCAGTTCCCAAAACAAACCAAAGCAACCTATAAACCATACTCACATCAATACACAAAGCTTTTTAATCTCATCCACAGTGACATATGGGGGCCATCTCATTTACCTTCCCGCACTCATGCTAAATGGTTTGTTATATCCATTAATGATCACACACGACTTACCTGGGTGTTCCTAATGAAAGAAAAATCTAACCTACCTGCCACTTTCATCAAATTTCACAAAATGATCCTAACTCAATTTCAAACTCAAATTCTCACCCTTTGGAGTGACAATGGTCAAGAGTACATGTGCCACACCCTATAGCAATATCTTCAAGAACACGGAATTATTCACCAAACCAGTTACGTCGACACCCCACAGCAAAATGGGACCGCAGAACACAAGAATCATCACCTATTAGAGGTTACCCGATCCCTTATGTTTACCCATAATGTTCCTAAACAATACTGGGAAGAAACCCTCCTTGCTGCTATCCACTTGATCAACTGACTCCCATCCAAAACTCTTGGTTTCCAAACCCCAGTAAACCTACTCACAAAAGCATATCCCTCTAACTCTCTTACTCTTGACCTTCCACTAAGAGTCTTTGGATGTGTAGCATACATTTATCACAACCATGGGGATAAACTTGACCCGAGAACTCTAAAGTGCATCTTTTTAGGCTATTCCTCTACTCAAAAAAAGGTATAAATGCTATTCCCCATTCTTGCATAAATTCTTTGGTACTATGAATGTCAAATTTGATGAGACCCAAGCCTACTATCTAAAGTCTCCCATTCAGGGGAATAATTTCAGAGAATGGGAGCTTTTGACCTCACAAACCTCACAATCCTTCCCCTAAACCACAAAAAACCCAACTTACCATACCTACTACTTCTACACCAGAAATAGAAAATCCTGTGCCAGAAACAGAAAATCCTAACCAGAAACTGAACATGCTGTAACTACAGCCACAACAAAACTTTCCACATTAGAATCTGACCCTCAATAGCCCTCTACAACTCCAGAAACAGAATTTGAAACCAATTCTACTCCACCCAAAACCAACCTTGATGCACTTAACCCTAGCACGATGCCTGACAATGCAATACAAGGAAATGATGATGACCAATAAGATGCAGATTCCAATGAGGAACAAGAGTCAAACAGTGGAGGTTCTTCAGGTTCTAAGAAACGCCAAGAATCAACCCAACCTGATAATCTTGGATGGCCTATTGCACTTAGAAAGAGGGTAAGAAAGTTTACGCAACACCCTATTAGTCATTTTGTACCTTATGATAAGCTAGCACTGTGCATGAAGAGTTTTGTTACCAGAATTGATAGGGATCAAATTCCCAGAACATTTGATGAAGCTACTAAGGATCTTAAGTGGAAGGCAGCCATAGATGAGGAGTTGCAGGCACTTGATAAAAATCTGAGAGAGTAGAGCGAATAGTGATACTTGCATTATACTTGAAGCAGTGGAGTACATTATATAACTTGATAAACTAGGGTACATTATTGGTCCAGTATGCAGTAGTCTAAGTTCTTTTAGGACTCTAATTATCCAGATTCCTTCGCAGACCCCAAGGGCAAGTGCCCTTAGTTCTACCTCTGCACTGCTTCTGGAAACTACTGGTTGCTTCTTACTTCTCCAGGTAATCAGATTTCCCCATAAGTAGGTGATGTATCCAGTAGTGGACCTTCTATCTAGCAAGGACCGCCCATGATCTGCATCCGTGTAAATCTCTATTCCTCTGGATTCTCCTTTCTTGAAGGATAACCCTTTCCTTGGATTCATCTTTAAATATTTCAGGATTCTGTACACAGCTTCCACATGTTGTTCTTGCGGTTGATTCATGAACTACTTACAACTCCCACAACGTAGCTTATATCTGGTCGTGTATGAGCTAGATAAATGAGCTTTCCTACCAACTGCTTGTATCTTCCAGTGTCAACCAGTATGCCATCCTTCTTGTATTCTAAATTGCAGCCAGTTTCCATGGGAGTTTCTGCAGGTTTGGCTCCAAGCATACCAGTTTCCTGCAACAGGTCTAGTGTATACTTTCTCTTAGAGACATTTATTCCCTGTTTGGTTCTACCAATCTCCATCCCAAGGAAATACCTCATCTGTCCCAAATCTTTCATCTCGAACTCAGCTGCCCATGATCTCTTTAACTTTCTTACGGCACTTTCATCATTTCCTGTAATCACAATGTCGTCTACATATACTATTAGGATAGTGATTTGATCACCAGCATGCTTTATGAAGAGTGTGTGAATTGATTGCCCTTGTGAGTATCCCATTTTTTTCATGGTCATCGAGAATCTTCCGAACCAAGCTCTAGTGGATTGTTTCAATCCATATAATGATTTCTGGAGTTTACAAATCTTTGAGCAATTTGTTGAATTCTTCAAGCCAGCAGGTATCTCCATATATACTTCTTCTTTAAGATCTCCGTTTAGAAAAGCATTTTTCACATCTAACTGATAAAGTGGCCAATCTAGATTTGCTGCTACTGATAAAAGAACCTTAATGGTGTTGAGCTTAGCTACCGGAGCAAAGGTATCTTGATAGTCAACCCCATATGTCTATGTATATCCTTGGGCTACAAGTCTTGCTTTATAATTGTTTATGCTTCAATCTGGATTGTACTTGATGGTGAAAACCCATTGACACCCCCACAGTCTTCTTTCTTGTTGGTAAATCAGTGATTTGCCATGTTTCATTCTGTTTCAATACTTCCAACTCTTCATTTATAGCCTGTTTCCAATTAGAGTCACCAATAGCCTCTTGGAACGTCTTAGGTACTCTTGCACTGGATAAGTTGGCCACAAATGTCTACATTCTAGAAGATAATTTATCATAGGAAACAAATTTACTGATTGGATGCTGAGTACAGGATCTTACCCCCTTTCTGAGAGCAATTGGCCACCCAAGTTCTTCTGGATCTAACATTGGATTGGAGACTTGGCTATGCCTCGGAATGTGAGAGACTCTATTATCTTGCTCCTCTTCTGAGA